TAAATTTTTTAATATAATTTAGTTTTTTTCACACGTGCTTAAAACATAAAAAAATATAAAATTAAACATAAATTAGTCATCCTCATTGTATTGGCCATGATTGTCATCCTCGGTCCCCTTGTTGTCTTCGTCGTTAATCACTACCCACAATATCATCTTGTTGCCACATCCCTCGAATAATGTTTTCAAGTTTCTTGTTATAAGCCATGTGTTTAATAATAACGTCATAGCATCAACAGGATCCTCCCCGCTATAAAATAAATATGTACAATAATATAAATTTCAACTTAAATGGAAATTAAGAGTTAAATTTTTTAAAATGCAAAATAAATGGAAAAATCTAAAAATTTTTTTTTTTAAATATTATTTTCGGAACTTGAATTAACTAAAAAAAAATAAAAAAAAATCTTTTTTTTTGAAACATACGTGAAATATTCTAAATAGAATATTACACTGTACATATTCTAAAAATAATTTTAAAATACAAAATAAATGGAAAAATCAAAAAATTCTTTTTTTAAATATTATTTTCGGAATTTGAATTAACTAAAAAAAATATAAAAACAAAAAATAAATAAAAAATAATAAAAAAATGTGTCTCACGGTCTCGCAAAATTAAGCCGTCTCACGTGAACCTAACCCTATATATATATATATATATATATATATATATATATATATATATATATATATATATAAAATTTTAAATTTATATAAATTGTCTCTCATATATTAGCCAAAATCTAATTATTTGGATAATTGTGATTTATTTTCGCGTTTTGAGTCTCTATGATGTTTTCTATTTAATATATATATATATATATATACATATATATATATATATATATATATATGGGTTAGGATTAAATATGAATCATAAGTGTTGTATGAATGTATGAGTAAATCATGTCTATTAGATAAAAAAAAATAAAGGGTTGTGATTCCAGAGTGCATGTTATTAACATGGAATAAGACTTATTCTATAATTGGTCTTAGTTAATTATAAGAGTAAATATGTTATTTTAATAAGAGAGAGAAATACAATTTTAGCTATATTTTAGGCATCTAAATCAAAGTAATTAATAAAAAATCAAACAATTAAATATTCAACGTAATATTTTTATAAATTAATCCAATTGTCAGAAAATCGCCAACTAAACATTATGTTGATCAAACTTTAAACAACAGGTTATTCGAAACATTCTTAAAGAACTATTATATTTATATGTATATAATTAAGATATTTTTAAAAGAATTAGGCTTTACTTCTTCACATTTATCCATTCTTAGGCTCAGGAAAAAAAAAATTAGGTTTTACTTGTTTATATTTATTTATAATGTCATTCTTGAGGAATAATGACAATAATTATGAGTACATAAATGACATTTTTTGAAGAATAATTCATGATTAAAAAATGCATAATTTACATTTTCTTTAAAATAATTTGAACATTCTTGAAAAGAATAAAAAACATTCTTTAAGAATAATACATGAAAAAAAAATGAAAAAAAAATACAAATACATAAACTATTCGTGATGTAGATGCCCGACTTGTAAAAACAATTTACATTCTCATAATCAATAAATATGATCTCATATTTTCCATCCATTCTTTTAACATTGCACTATACAGAAACTTTTCTACTACATCTCTCGATGTGCAGGTGGTCCTAGTGGTGAATTTGTGATTTAAGATGGCTTTTTATTCAAAGGAAATCGCCTTTGTGTCCCAACACATGCAATACGGGAGTTGCTGATTCGTGAAGCTCATGGCGGTGGTTTAGCTGGTCATTTTGGCATTACCAAAACTTTGTAGGTGCTTAAAGTACATTTCTTTTGGCCGAAGATGTTGGGGGATGTAACCAACATAATGGGCAAGTGTGTTACATATCACATGGCGAAAACAACTTTGAAGCATGGTGTTTACACTCCTTTGCCAGTCCCTATTCGTCCATGGGAAGATGTGTCCATGGATTTCATTATGGCTTCGCCTATAACTCAAAGGGGGAACAATTCCATTATGGTGGTGGTGGATAGGTTTTCAAAAATGGCTCACTTTGTGCCATGTCATAAAACTATTGATGCATCTAATGTGGCTGTTTTGTACTTTAAAGAGGTGGTTCGTTTGCATGGTATTCGTAAAACAATAGTTTCTGATAGGAATTCCTAGTTTCTAAGTTACTTTTGGAACAATTTATGGAGGAAAGTGGGTACTAAGTTACCTTTTAGTATACCCCATCATCTACAAACCGATGGGCAAACAGTGGTGACTAACAGAATTTTGAGTACTTTGTTGAGAGGGTTGGTTAGCAAAACTCAAAAAGATTGGGACATCAAACTTGCACATGCCGAATTTGCCTATAATTGTTCTCCTACTTATTCTATAGGTCACTCTCCTTTTGAGGTGGTGTATGATGTGAATCCTTACATGCCTTTGGATTTGATCCCATTGCCAAAGGATGAATTGGTTCACAAGGATGCTAATGACAAGTTGAAGGCCATGCTGAAACTACACCAACAAGTTCGTGAGAAGATTGAAGCTGTGAATGAGTTGTGCAAACAGAAGTCCAACAAGAATAAGAAACCACATGTCATTCAATATGGTGACTTTGTATGGGTGCATATGAGGAAAGAAAGTTTTCCTAAAAAAAGGAAAAACAAGTTGATGCCAAGAGTTGAAGGTCCTTATAAAGTGGTGTCACGTGTCAATGATAATGCTTATAAGGTAGATTTAGAAGGAGACTATAGAGTGCTTGCTAACTTTAATATGGGAGATTTTTCACCTTATCTTGATGATGATGGACTTGATGAATTATGGAAAATTCCTTTCAAAGGGGGAGGGGATGATTCATGCATGGATCATGAAAGCCCAAAAGGTGATGGATTAGTGATTACTAGTGGTCTAGAAGGTGGTTTGGGCTCAATGGTTGGGTTGTACATGCTAAGCCACAAATTGAATTAGGGTTGCATGAAGGCTAGGGCTACATTTTTAAGGCTTCATAAGTGTCTTAAGTGTCTTGGGTGTTTTTTTGGGTTATTTCAAGAGTTTCCTTAAATTTAATTTACTAGTTTTAATGAATAATTGGTTGGTTGGCTTGTAACTACCAAGTTTGTAATAAAGGCTTTATATAAAGCCAAGTTTATGAATGGGAAAGATAAGGCACAAATTTTAATCAAAGAACCCTTTTGTTCACTTTGAATTATTTTCATAGTTCACAAATTATTATATTTTGGACGTGATCGTTGAGTTGATCGAATTCAAACTCATAGGTCTTAGTTTGTCTTCAGATTTACAAGCTACATGTCTAGTTTGTTTATCAAATATATCCTTTTATTACTTTTTCTCAAACACAATCCAATCTCAGTAAAAAAAATCCCATACACACATCATTTAGTGATGACACCCTAAGCGCTTGGCCAAGCCTAGACTAAGTTGATGTGTTCAATTGTAGTCTGTTGTCAGTCGTCTTAAATCGGAAATCGGGAAACAACTATTCGATAGAGATAAATTATAGTCCATGTCTCATGTCCATATTATATCTTGTACAATGGAGGAATATTTGATCACTTATCTAAGGACATGTTACTGACTAGGACAGAGTTCGATAGTGGCTTTTGGTAGCTAAAATTGCTAGTCAATTTTTGAAGTTATACTTGCAACTATAGTTATTAGACTTATCCAAGTGGGAGACTGTTGGATTAGGTGTCTAATCCCATAATTATAATTGCTATGTACTTGAATTGATAGTAGCAATGTCCTTTTGGGTTGCCTTCAAACATGGCAATTGAAATACGATAATTGTTGGAGAGAGAAAAGTGATTTATTAATTTATTACTTGGTTAATAAATTAATTTCAAATCAATATAAATAATTTATTAACAGATTATGGATATAATATGTTAATTAGAAATCATATTGTTTAATTAATATTAAATCAGAAATTAATTTGGAATTACTTTTAGGATTAAAAGAATTAATTGAAATTGCAGGGACTAAAGGTGACAATGTTCAAAAGTTGAGCATTGAGAATTCTAAAACCTCCCGTAGAGATGGGGAACGAAATCTAGAGTGTCCTAGGGTTTCCTTGGGCTCTAAGGGCACCTTGGAAGCCTTAGGGAGGAAGTTAAGGGATTAGGGTTATCTAAGATACACCTGTCTTATCCTAAACCTTCCTTATCACCTATATAAACCCCTATAGGTTGGATTTCGTCCCATTCACTCCAAAAAAAGGCTTATGGCCGAATTTTTACTTCCCATCTTTCTCTCCATTGTAATCCTTGGTTGCTTGGTTTGTTTGTGAGCCATTAGAGGCGCGACACTTGTGGCGTTTGCTACCAAAGTTCAAGATCTTTAAGGATTTAATTGTTATTACAATATAAGAATAAATATATGTATCCTAACCCTAATAAAAAATTGCAAATTTGGTCCCTATGGCATGTCAAAACTAGCACGTTTGGTCCAAAATGGGTTTGGCTTGCAAGGATGGTCCAATGGTTTCATTTTGTTGCATGTTTGGTCCAACGGCTTAACAGCTACCACCAAGCTCCCGTTACTTTTCCCATGCCCCTCTCACTTAAGGGTATTTTAGTCCATTCATCCATGTACCCGTTCCCATTAAAGCTAAACAAAAGCAGTTTGTCTCCTCCTCAATAAAGTAGATCGTCGTTCTTTAACCAAGATCAATAAAATCCCTAGACACAAAATTTGTTGTGTCAGTTAAGTTGCGATTTGGTGAGAATATCGGTGGATGAACATACCAATGTGGCACGTAAGGTTGTTAAACACACACTTCAACCCCAAGGTTGTTTATTGTACATAATTTTCCCTTTTACATCTATTGATTTATTGAATTTTTTGACGTAACTCCACCTAAAGTGTTTTTTTACTTGTTTTGAAGATGGACACCCAACATTGTTTACCATTAAGTTGTACCATGGAGGTGAGTTCACTAAATATCATGATGTTCGTTACATTGACGGAACTGTCAACTATGTTGACATGGTAGACATTGATGAGTATTCAGTTCATGATCTCAATGCAATCATGAAAGGTTTCAGATATGGGGTTCCTCCTGTTATATACTACCATTTTCTTGTGCCTAATAGAGACTTCCACTTTGGTCTTTGCCCTTTAGGAAATGATGAAGATATTGTAAAATTTTCCCAATATATTAGTGAGCACAAAGTGATGAAGGTCTACACAGAGCATGGTGAAACAAGACTACTCACATATTTCTTGAATCCTAAACCTGTTACCAAGGTTACCCTTGTACAGTTAGATGAAGCACATGAGGATGTGCAACATAATGATGAAGCTCCTGATGACTAATCAAAGGAAACACCTGTGATAACTACACCTACTGATGTGTTGCCTACTCAACCAAACCAACTTGAAATCCAAGTCAATGAAGTACTTCAAGTCGCATCCGTATCACCTGAATATAATAGGAGAAAGGTTATGAGCAAGGATGGAGTAATGGCATCTTGCAGTAAGAAAATATACTTTAATGGTATTGGTGAGACTGAGCAGATAGCCAAAGACTTTGTTGAGGCAGCTATTGATTTTGATATTCGACTCTACCAACAAATACTACAAAGCAATGTTGATGGAGTTAATGGCCCTGGCATGCATGATGTCAATGAACCTCAGATGGATGAAGAAAACCAACCTCAGATGGATGAAGAAAACCAACCTCAAATGAATGAATTTTGGGATTTTGACTACCAAACTGATGCTTGTGTCCAAGATGGAAATGAAAACCAACCTCAGTCTAACATGGATAGTAATGGAAAACAAAATGTAAGTGAGGTTGAAAGTAAAGAAGGAAGTGAAACAAAGCAGGAAGATGATAGTGATGAGAGTGATTATTGGGTGGATGAAGATAATGTAATTGAAGATGTTGAAGTTGATATGAGGGATTTTAACATGAGCATTGATATAGAAGTAGAGTTCTTGGATAAAAGGACTAGGAATCCTAGACAACATAAGGGTGATGAAGAAGTTTATGAGTTAGATATTATTGACAATGATGCTTTTGATTCCATGGATGAGGATTTTGATCAGGACACGAAAAGAAGAGCAGTTTTGAAACAACTAAGTAAGGAAAAAAGTTGTTCTTTAGGTGAGGTTCATAAGTGTCATTTTAAAATAGGTCAAAAGTATAACAGTAAGCAAGAGTTGAAAGAGAAAATCAAAATGCATGCATTGGAAACAAAAAAGAATATTGCATTTAAAAAACATGACAAATGCAAATTGAAGGCCATATTTAATGGAGTTGTGGCATTTACTAATGATGGAGTTGGTGGACCTACCCAACCTGAGAAAATTAAAGGGAAAAGTAAAGAAAAGGACAATCAAGGTGGGTGAAGTCAGGATAAAGCAGATTCTTCTTGTCCTTGGATGTTACATGCCTCGAGGTATACAAATGCAAGCAACTGGTATATTAAAACATATGAAGACAAACACACTTGTATGAATACAAGGAAGGTCAGAGCTGCAATAGCAAAGTTCATGTCCAAACAAATTTTGGATCTGGTGGAATCCAACCCTACTATCCCAGTTAAAGCTCTCCAAGAACAACTACAGAAGAAGTATGGAGTGGGTTTCTCAATTCATAAAGTTTTTAGAGCTAAAGCAGATGAAAAAAAGATTGTAGTGGGTTATTACAAAAAACAATATGAAGTTCTAAGAGACTATATCCTTGAGGTGCAGTAAACCAATCCTGATACCACAGTCAAATTAGAACTTGGAGATATTTCAGAGTCTAACATGGTGAATTGCACTTCAAGATGTTTCAAAAGAATCTATGTTTGTCTAGCGGGGATGAAGAGGGTATTCAAAGCTTGTTTAAGAGATTTCTTGGGGTTAGATGGGGCTCATATGAGAGGCCCTTATGCATGACAGATCTTAACTGTAGTTGAATTAGATTCCATCAATGGCATATACCCACTTGCATATGCCATTGTAGAGATTGAAAACTGTGAAACTTGGAAGTGGTTCCTTGAATGTCTTGGTGATGACTTGGATCTACATGCTATGTCTAATTTTACTTTTTTTAGTGACAGACAAAAGGTAATGGTTGCTTTTTTATTATCTTTAATCTTTATTTTTTTAACCATGTGTAATTTGTTGCCAGGGTTTACTACAAGCAGTTAGTCAACTGTTCCCATGTGCTCAGCATAGGTTCTGTCTCAAACATATATGAGAACATGAAGAAACAATGGAGAACTAAGGAATATAAAGATCACCTTTGGGATTGTGCAACAGCTACAATAGTTCCAAAGTTTAACCATTACATGCACCAATTGAGTTTATATGACAACTCAACATATGAATGGTAGAAGTCAATACCATCTCAACATTGGGCAAAAAGCCATTTCACAGGTAAGCTGTTATGACCTTTTTACCCTTTTACCCTTTAACCCTGTTATGACCCTTTTACCTTTTTAACTTTTTACCATTTTACCCTGTTATGACCTTTTTACCCTTTTACCCTTTTCTATATAGGGAGAGCAACCACAGACATGTTGTTAAACAACCTTTATGAGACGTTTAATGGTAATATGGTTGATGGGAGAGATAAACCAATGATCAGTTGCTTTGAGTTTATTAGGGAATATATGATGAAGAGGATATGAAATGTCCTTAACGTGCAATAGAAGTGTGTAGGCCCACTCACCCCAATAGTAACAAAGATCATGGAGAAGAATTTAGCAACAACTACTCAGTACATTGCAGATTGGTGTGATGATGAAAAATACCAAGTCAAAGGCCCGTGGAATGATCAACATGTTGTTGATATCCATGAAAGGGTATGCAACTGCAGGAAATGGGAATTAACAGGTATCCCTTGCAGACGTGTGATTTCTTTGTTGTATAACAAAGCAGATCATGGTGATTGTGTACAAGAGCTCCATATTTATGTCCACATGGTGCACTGGCTACAAACATGGAAAACTGCATATGGTATAAGGTGAAACCAATTAAAGGTCGGGAACTGTGGACTAGAAGTCAGTATCCAATGCAGATCACACCTCCCCCACACCGTAATCAACCTGGGAGACCCAAAAGGAAGATAAGGAAATCCATGGAGGAGATGAGTCAAAGCAAGAGTCACAGTCAGAGTCAAAGGTCAGATGTTGCTCCCAGTGAGGTTCATGATCATGGCCCACATGGTAGCAAGTGTGGAAACAAAGTTCATAACTCCAGGACATGCAAAGGTCAGGGAGGGACTTGATGGACTATGTTGGTTTTATCTTTTGGTTTGACTATGCTTGACAACTTTGTTTTCATTCCCACATGTAGGATGTCTTTTGTTGCAATAACTTTGTTTTCAATTAACTTATGACATGTATTTTGAAGATGGTAATAGGTATTATGTGTTTAGTATGCTTTGTGTTAATTACATATGGATGCATGCTACGTTATCTTTAGCAGGTTATGTATGAACAACAGAACAAATCCATAATTGGTCAATAGATACCAAATTTTCATTACCATTAATTTGGATTACAACAATGTTCTACATTTGCAAAAAACTAGCTAAACCAAACACATATACCCCTAACCTATTACAAAAGATAACCATAACATTTTTGGACTTACAACAAGAACACCACCACAACAAGAAAAAAAATCCAGCTATAGACTAGGTAATACTTTAGCATAGTTTCTTGTTCTTTGATCTTCACCACTTATTTTTCATGCTTAATTGCTTGATCTTTTATATCTTCCACTGCTTTTCGTAGCTTACTGATTGTCCTAAGAAGCCCTGGTATTATAACTTTGGAACGAGCACACATGGGTTCATCATACCACCCAATAAACCCACATGATGAATTCTTGAAAAAGGAAGAAAGAAACATTAGATCATCATCGAGAAGTCCTTAAAACAAACTGTAACATACTTACCGGGTCAAGACATCCCTAAAATCGGCGCCCTGGGTTGTTATCTGTCCACGATGTCCAAACTATCGCTCATTTTCTGTAGAAGCACATCACCATTGTGTAATAGCCCGGAATTTCCAGGTATTTATTATTGGCATATTTTTGGAAATTGTGAGTGGACTCGGCGAGTTGGAGCTCAAACTCGCCAAGTAGGATCGCGATATTGGGCACGGGTTCGCGCCCGAACTCGGCGAGTCCAAGAGTGGACTCGGCGAGTCCATGCTGTGTGATCAAACCCTAATTCTCGGGGTTTGAGACCTATTTAAAAGGCCTTATGGCCATCATTTGTGCTCACCAATCCATAGAGAGAAACCCTAGAGTGCTTGAGCGTTTTAAGAGAGAAAGGAAGCCATTCTTGACCTTTGTGGGTTTATTTAGCAAGGAGAAGGAGGTCATAACCAAGAGGAAGCATAGGAGATTGCTATACTGTGGATTTGAAGCTCAGATCTTCGAACTTGAGGTATTATTTCAACTCATCCTCTATTTTATGAAGTATATTTGGATTTAGGGTTTCTTGTGGCCTTTATTGGGATGGTTTGATACCAAATAGTCCCTTTCTAATGTTGAGGCTTTAGATCTGGATCCATAGAGGTCCAGAGAGCCTCACTCATCAAGCTTTATGAAGAGCAATGGAGATTATGACCTTGAGTTGTGGTATTTGGGACTAAATCATTATATATGGTCATATAGATGTTGTATGTACATCAAGATAGTGACTTTACGTGCCAAATGAGGTTGGAAGGACTGGATCTATGAGTTAATGGACCGGATCTGACCTTTGGATCGAGTTTGAGTCATTGCATGGCATGGACTCGCCGAGTCCGAAGAACAGACTCGGCGAGTAGCATGAATATTGCCCAGCACCACACAACGAGTGGTCTTGCCAAGTTGAGGGGTTGACTCAGTGAGTTAGGGAGAGTTAGAGTGGGTTGATAGGTGGACAGAGTCAAGCTGGACTCGCTGAGTTGTTATTGAGACTCGGCGAGTTGAGTCGTGGTGGCCCCACAACTCATGCCAGGTGGAACTCATCGAGTTAGGAGAATACTCGACGTGTCAAGAGAGGATCCCAGGGAAATCATTGTATACGCTTAGACTCACCGAGTCGTTATAGTGCACTCGCCGAGTCCGGTCAAAGTTGACCGTTGACCATTGACCAGTGTTGACCTATGTTGACTTGTTAAGGGATAGTCAACCTTAGTTGGGAAAGTGTTAATTAGAGATGTATTGTGTTATAGGAGGACTATAGCTCGGGAGATCGAGCACTAGTGATTTCAGGGATTTACGAATTACCGAGACACGCGAGGTGAGTCTTCTCACTATAATTTACCTTGAGTAGGTAACCAGAGTTATGTGATAGAGTATTTGTATGCTATGTATGTTAT